ACATGAATATAGGCAAACAAGTAAAATTGTGTTGTTAATTTTATAATCACTGATTTTTTTTGAATTAATTTTTCGATGAACACTCAATCAGCTTTAACATAATCTTTTTTACTAACTTATATTAACTAATAAGGAATCCTTAATGTGTTTCGTTGTAGCAACTGGATTCCTCAACAAATGCCATCCAACGCATACTGTAGTGAGTGCCACTTATATGGACAGATATAAGCAGTATGCATTAAGAATTGGAAGTAGTATTCTTACTGACAGAAAAGGAAAATGAAGAGAAAAGACAGAAAAAGCAAAACAGTTTTAGTAGTAACAGAGAGGAATGAGTAACGGAACTTGTAAATGACAATCCAAGGAAGATGTGCAAATGGTTTACTGAATGTATCATTTTCACATTTTACAAATGACGTGTAATTTCATTTATCCCAACAAAGTTTTAGTACATCATTTTATTAATTCATGTATCAAACTATCTTCAAATTGTTTCACTGTTACTCTTAACAAGCAACACTATCATCCTGTTACTACAGTGTATATTCTTATCAATTCTTCAAAAAAAGAATTACTTGAACAACTCAAATTATAATTTATCACGTAAATGTTAGAAGAATTAAACTCATATGATACTTGACTCAATTACTGGTATGATAATTAATCATGAGAATAATTATATTTTATATTTTAGAAATAAAATTCTCATTATCTGAATGGGTTCAATTTTTCATTAGTAATGGTAAAAAGCTGTATCTTTTTAAAAAGGTATCGATTGACCTTACGATGTCTTATATTCTTATAAAATACACTACCCAATACACTAATTTTGTGAATCAGAGTATACTCATCATTTAAATTTGTATTGACAATGTAAAGTTTATCACTCATCACAGTAAATTTGATAAAGAACACTCTATCATATTGTAGGGTCAGAGAAATAATACTGAACCCTACCCAAATTATCAGTCAGGCTGAATGGATAACAAATTCTAAAGACTGATCACTGGATTTCGTCAAGATCAAAGATGTCCTGTGTTATACAATGAACACATGCATTATAATGGCCGCCTCATATACAGTACCTTTCTTTAATTTGATCTGTTGAGTATATAACATTCTTTCCAATAAAACTTAAACGGTTCTTGAAATGTTTTGAAGTAGGAAGGCTTTGATACCAGGTTAAGTTGGGTCAGGCTAAGAGTTCATTGGATGCCATGACTTTGATGTAGAACTATTTATGTTAGGCAGTCACATCATTCCCATTCAACCCTAGTGGATGTGGACTGCAGGCCAAACGAGACAAGCAACAGCATTACATCAATCATAGTCCGACATCTACAATACTTTCATACAATTCAGCTAAAATTTCCTTTTACCAATTGAGAAGAATAATGGTGTTGAATATATTCTTCCGATACAATCTAACTGAAGTCATTTATTCTGTTTACACATTGCTATTTAAAAGTGAATTTCCTGTTTCTCAAATGAGCTAGTTGGGATTGACTGGCCACCGAAATGACTAGCATATTTGTACCAATGTATCACTGATCAGTGACCAACATCAAGGAGCAAAGGTTCCCTCGAGATTTTAGGTACACCTTGCTGATGAATGCTAACTAGCAAGAAACCTAGGTCCAGAGTTTCCGTCCAAATACCTCTAACTAGCTAACATTGTTTTCTTGTTCTGTCATTTTGAAAATGGTGTAAACACCAAAAGAGTCTAGTCAGTTGATCTACTATGTTTCTAATGTTAATAACTCACATCCTAGTTTTACAGTTCCTTTGATTTAACTGTTGAACTTACCGAGTGACCAGTCTCTGTTGATTAGTAACAAGATCCAGGACAGTTCTCAACTAATTTACTCAACCTTGCAATACAATGTCTAAAGCAGTTGAAAACTCAATTGACATGACCCAGAACTTTTTTTCCCAAATAGTGGTGCTATAAAATCCAACGACTTATCACTAAAAGACCTATTCACATGGATTTTACTGAATAGGTGTTAGGAAGGAATGATTAAATAACTCAGTAAATTCGTTATATTTGTTGATTGTACTGGTTTAATATTATGATATAGTAAATTGTACTCATCAATTAAATTATTGATTAATTAATAACAGGTACTTTTCAGTTTAATTTGTCCATAATCCCACTACCAACCGGTTTAAGTAAATTATGTATCATTGTATTCATATAAGACTTTTTAATCAGTTTTAGGTGTCGAATAAATCACTATCATCTTTGTCTTTTACCTTGTTTTGAACAATATCTCCGTTTTTCAGTTTACTTATCATACAAACAAGTTCATTAGGACAAACCGATCTGATCAAGATTAGTTAAAAATCTTACTCCTCTTTAAAGCAGGTGCTGTTGTCTAAATCAATTAATACAACCAACCCAGAGAGCGCAAATCAGCTACAATCATAATTAGAAGCATTTATTAACATATAACCGATCAGGTTATGAAGAGGTTTTGAATCAATTACTTATTCGTTCTAAGTATCACTGAGTTTCAACGTAGTTTAACCGTTTAGACTGCACATTTGTTAATAAACTATCAGAAAAATTAGACAGAACGCTTCAACAAAAAGCTTAATAAATTGAATTGATAACGTACTATTGAAATGTCCAGTACTAATTTGGAATGAACAGTCATTGGATTTACTTAGCTGTCTTCCTCACTATCAATATTCTTAGGAACATTATAAAAAGACTAGTTGCATAATTCAAATACTCAAGAATATCGAAATAAATGAGCCACTAGATTTGTACAATTTGAAACTGATACCTGATATGAAGAGTAAGAGCTTAGTTAATTTCAATGCGAATGACATAAAAAGATTGATCTTTTTTCCAATCATATGACATGTATCCATATCTTAAGAAGGATTATATATGGTTAATTGTTTAATAAGATAAATGTGTTCACATCGTAAGTTATAGAACTCTTATTATCAAATGTAGCTTAGTTCAATTGGAAAAATCTAACTGTGAACAAATCATTTAAAACATGGTGTATTCCTAAATCGTTTTGATTTATTTTAGCAGTCGAATAAATCATCACCGGTGTTCATGCCTTTTCTCTTGTGTTCAGGTTATAGTATAGATTAATTCTAGGGTTTTTAAAAGCAGCTAGAAAATCGGATCCAATGTTCAGTTAGCAAACTTATCAATACCTAAAAAAACGGCTTGTTAAATTTATGTCCTCGGGGTAAATGAAGTTTGGTCGAGGCAGACGGTTTGTTACAATATAAGGCTGTGACTATGTTCTTGATAAGCATATCGGGAACAAAACAAGGAAAAAAGTTATGAAGTTGAAACTCAGTAGGACAGTGTGAATTCAAATGTTTTGACCAAGTTCTGCTTTCTTGTTTAAATTTAATAACCGTCATAAAATAAAAATAGAACATTGACTGAAACGAAAGAAATCGATATACATTTTGTAAACATATATACTTATCTTTTCAGTTCATTATCATTATTATTGTAATCAATGTCGTCCTGAAAAATAAGTATGTATATTTGCGATTGTACAGCTTTGAAAATGAATTCGCCAAAAAGAGAACTCTTCGCTGAACCAATCTTTCTCATTTAATGTTCTACTTAATGGGTGTATTTCGTTTACAAATTTAGTATTCGAGTAATATGATGTATAGTGTTGGATAGTCAAAAACAATTGACCAGAAGAGATATATGTGCTTCAGGATTACGTTACAACCACAATTGAAGACAATAGCAATAAAATGACCGAACAGTGATAGATTATCGTGAAAGCTGATTTTAACTGAACAATAAGTGCGAACTAGCCAGCAGTACTTTATTATATCAAAACGCAGTATTACATGCAACACTTAAATACGTTTGAATTAATGGATAATAACCTCACTGAAACTGTAAGATGCCATTCATTTTCGAAATTCGTTGAAGATGCAGCTAAACAGTACAGCGGAACTAGCAGTTAATCTACAAAACTTTGCAACTTTTCCTAATAAAAACCATCTTCTGTTACGATATTAACTGATGAAACACAGTTAACATCAATCCTGAGCTATTCATCATACAAAACAAAAAGTTGTGTAATTCTAATCTATTTGCTTATTTTATTTCTAATTTTTTATAAGATACGGGCACTGAAAAATAAGTTTGTGAGCAGTATTCTTTTTAAAAAAGCGATACTTCCAAAGTGAAACATGAACACGAAAACAGAAGTTGACATGAGAAAGTGTAACAGGCGTAATTACCGAAAAATACGTACTTTAAAATAGATAATGATAATAGTAATAGTAATAATAATACTAGTAGTGTTTTCAGTGTATTTTGAGAAACCGGTAATAATCATGTCAAGGACATTCGGAAATAAACAGTTGTTTGAATATCGGTCAACTATTATTATAACTGTTATTGACAGTAGTGAGATTGTACATCTGCACGCACACACAATATATATATATATATATATATATAATAGCATTGACCAATTGAATGTCTGGGTGGTGAACACAAATAATAAAATTGTTCGACAGTTTTCTGTCATAAACTCATACTGACCGCCAGAATTAGTGCATACTTGTACAGGTGATGTAGGCAAATGTTGATTTCATGAAATAAACATTCTGTGCTATGCTTTAATCCTACCACAAGACAACCCGAGGACTGTTTTTTTAGATTAGACCAAAATTTCGTGCACAAAAATAGAACAATCTGCGTCTTCTCATTATTCTAAGATTGAGGTTGATGTATGTAAAAATGAGACCAGTGTGAATTGATCACAAAACACTAATGAAAGAATTATTTATCCCTTTTAAAAGACAGAAAAGTTTCAATTCAATATAAGGAATATTTGGTGAATAAAACTATTGAGCATATATATATATATATATATATATATATATATATATATATATATATATATATATATCCGTTGTTCGTATTTCCCTTAGTAGTAATAATTTCACGGTCGTTTATTCATTAAAGTGGACTCATGAAAACAAAAACAAAACAGTTTATTCTTTATTGAAAATAAAAGGCAAAATACTAAACTAATACCTTCTAAAATAATAATAATAACAATGACCTGTTCCTTGCTAAAACGAGAAACAACCGCAAACAAAAACACAGAAAACAACGCTTTTTACATACGTGCACAACTGTATACAAACACGTAGTCATATGCATAAATAAGTAACAAAACATACTTATTGGTTACGTTAGAATAAATAGGCATAGGTATTGTATGTGTGTGTGTGTGTCAAAAATGGAGAGAAAGAGATAAGAAATAAATTATTTGATATATTCTGAAAATGCCATTGGAATGAAATAATTCACGATAAAATATAAGAAAGTCTAAAGAAACGATTGAATATTTGATTAGTATATTCGAGGCAAAAACAATTACAAATCTACATTTCTGTACACAGTCCTGATTATATTATATCCTACATGAACAAACACAGTAGTAATATGGTAGATAATGTCCTGGAAAAGTAAGAATATTCATAAAAATGAAATGGATAAACAGAGAGGATATTTTAGCACATTTACAGTTGATTATCGCAACCGCCTTTGCTTAATCGATGCTGAGCAATTTCCATAATACCATTCAAGTGTACTAAGGCAGCCAATACAACAAATACATGAAATATTTGATGACTTTGGAACTGAAAATATAAAGGGAAACATTGAAGAATAAAACTTTTAAAAAAATGATACTATGATGATAACAACAGTATGAATAATACTAAAATATAATTAAGAAAAGTTGAAAAAGGGTATATATGAGAGTCAGTCATCAAATTTGCTGTTAAAGATATGAGGACACTTATCACTCCCGGTTACTTACACCATAAGACTCTTCTTTTTCGGAGATCTAAACAGGAAACTGGATTAGCGATGGCATTTAAGACGTAAGGAGTGATCCCCATTGTCCAAGGGACAATTGACTGAGGACAGTCACGCATAGCCGTTTCGTAAGTAGTTTTTGGTGTGTCAACCCCATACTTTGAAGGCCTTAAAACAGACAACGGTTGTCTTCGGGGTAATTTGGGATGTTAATATTTGGAACGAATCTTTCTAACCTCCCGCCACTGTTGTAGAACCCAGAATCTTTGCAGATATAGGTTGTCTGAAGAAAAAATCATACTCCCATCATTCTCTGTACAGTCGACAGTGCGATTTTGCCCTCTGATCACTGGTTCAGTGCTTTTGTTCTTATAACCTTCTAAACAACACCCCTGACGTGTTAAAACCTTAAGGAACATATATTCCAATCGATATATTGGATCATCAGAACCAATCCCAACCACCACAAAAAGGTATTAGCTACAACCGGGTGAAATATACAAAACGATAAAAGTATTTTCCACAATAGAAAATCAGTAATGAACTTGACAGTTCTTGGCTAGGATAAGATACTTTCAAAGTTTGATATTACAGATTCCTTTACAATAAACGATTTATTGGGAAAATCTACCGACTAAGTTTAAAATAGTCCTGTCCATATTTCCCTATTCATATTCTAATAGGCCACCGACCAGGTTAAGAAACGTACTATCTTGAAATAATTACTATAGATATAACTTGCATACATTATTTACGAGCTGCATATTCGACTTCATAATCCGTCTAGAAACTATAGATCTATTCCGAAGGAATGTGGCTGAATAACTCAATAGCTCTACAATAATCCACACAAAATCTGATCAAAACATTAAAGTGCTTTGCTTTATTTATCATTTGCTCTAATGAAATTGAAGTGACATGTTTGAATATGAAGATAATTAACAATGAAGTAAAATAAAACTTTATATGCTCTTTTACATTACAAGGGTTAATTTAGAGTAACTGGAATCAAACACATATTATTATATATTCGACAATGTTATTTGAAGTAGTGACTTCAAAGGAATTACTAATATCACGTTTTGGAAACTAAATACAGTGTACAGTAAAACGTGATACTGCATCTTTTTGTACAGGTCAAACGAATAATCAGTGGTTTCAACAGACAAATGTGCTACTCCATATTTAGGTTAGCTTACACTTTTTACATTCAGTCACATCACACTGGACAGCGAAGTTTACCATAATAGAGGTGTTAATATAGAGCATGTAAGATGTGCTCCAACTATCCAAGTTTAATGTAAATCCTAACACAATTATTAAACATTCGAACTACTCTATTTAAATAAATTTACTAAAATTATCCACCAAACTGTTGATGTCGGTAACTTAACAGTTAAGTGCAAAAAGCTTTTAGCTAAAACATCTCACAATACCGCAAAAGAAAACAACTACTATCGTCTCATTGCAAATATTTAGACTGTCAAAAAAAGTATATTCGGGCTGCCACGGTGCGTACCTAAAAATGAAACAACTAAGATTTCACTATATACGCCATAGTCTTATCGATATTATTAACTAATACTTAAAGTTACAATTAGTAACCAATACTAAGGACTCCGACATAGTTTCCACTTTAAGCTAACATCACCTATCAAAAGCTAATGAAAACCAGGGAAATGTTTTGTTCTACTTTGGGACCACCTTTAAAGTAGTACACATTCACAACTATGCACGGCACTCAACCTTAGGCATTCACTTTTCTCATGGTAAGCAAGATAACTTCAAACTATTGAGTCGAATTTCAATAACGCTTATGTCAAACTTCAATTACGATTAAATTACCAGTTCATAGTAGAAATCTACCTCCAGGTTTAACAGACATTTATAAATCTCTAACCTAAATATTGCCAAAAACAATGAAACAATGTTGATTTAGTGATAAATAAAACAATTCGATAACTACAAGGGAAATAGTTCACAGTTTGCTGCTTTTGCATAAAATGTTACTTCGCATAGACATAGTGTTACAGCCTGTAAATAGGTGTGGCTAGGAACTAACAACATATTTAAAAGATGCAAAAAATTTGGTATGATTTGAAACCAGGCCTAGTTTACATTTTACATAGGAACAAAAACGTACAACAAATGGCTCTGAACGTAGAACACAATATTTACATAATAATTAGTCAGTTTTCAATCCCTCCATATCTTTTTTTTAAGTTTGCTGCATTTGTCTTTTTTCCTTTTCCAAATAATTAAAACTTATTTTAGTTTGTAACAACATTAAAAGAACTTAGATATCTAATGAACTCACAATTAATTTCACCGGGTACTCAGTTATGACCCACACTCTGGATTTGAGGGTTAATGATACTACTCAATTGTTCAAACAGAATTAGATCGACTAATGTTCGAATTCGGGACATAATGGCTACAAGCCAAGCTCCGTAACCATTAAGCTGCCTCTCCATATGTACTTATATTGTTCCACCACAACTGCTGTTATTCGCTTACCAAAATTTGAAAATGGTGAGTGGTGAAATGAATTTATTTGATATAAACATTCGCAATTGACTCAAAACGATGTTAATGTTAGATTCTATGGAATGTTATTTTAAATCAACATATTACTTACAAGAACAATAGGTCTATCGGTTGTGCTTCATAAAATGTTTTAATGTACTTTTGAACTTGTATCATTAAATTATCAAGAAATCAATACACAACTTTAAAAAGTGCTGTGATAAAGTTTATGTAAACTATGAGTTAGGATCTAGCTACAGAACTCCAAATCAATAATCAGTTAATCATCATCGACCCAGAGTCTAACAGATATGAGATCGCCCAAGTTATCATATCACACATCAACATGCGATGAAATTAAGATGATGAATAGCAGAAGAGATCAATATAATATAGTAGCAATGATAATCAGGAAGATCAAACATTAGGAACATGATCCGGAAAAACAGAGTAGAGACGAATATGAGGAGGGATATTAGGATTCACAATCGAGAGGAGGATAAATAACGAATGTATCTGCTCAATTTTAAACGATTTTGAGTCATATTAACTAAAATTTCCAATCACCGATCGCAGTTATTGAGGAAACACCAACAACGTAATCTAAATCTAACTGCGTGGAACAGAATACGTTGGAGTTATTTGCACTAATCGGAAACTTATAATACATAGAATGAATCCCTTATATTTTCTTTCCACTAGCTTCTTATTGGTACGAAAACATGTCTTAATCCGGACCTTTAGTTCCCTAATAATAACGTTTTCTAAAAACTCAGATGAAATAGACAATTAAAAGTAACCTAAATACTTAATAATTAAACCAGTGGAAGGCTAAATGTGAATAATATGATTGGACTATAAACGTACAATGTCGATTAAAAGCCAAGTGTAAAGATTTTTATTTATGGATGAATTGAGTTAATAATATTTTTTGAAATAGTTTACTTTGAACAAGAATGTAATCGACAAACCAGAATGAAATAACTTACCCAAATATCAAATTTACCAGGATAAAGACGCTCAGGTATACGTAGTGCATAAATGGTAGCTCCCGATATATATAGTACAGCCATTAGAATAAGCCATCCAAGTGCAGAATAATGAACACCCTCCTGAAGATCTTCAATTAGAATATAATGTACACAAGGAACCACTCCCGACAGACCAAGAGCAATAAACAAAACTGAAATTTACAACGATCAGTAAGTCAACCAAACAAACAAAGTATCAATATTGAACAAAATAAACGCATGGTAATCATAACCTAATTTTCCGTGATGTATAATTACAAAGTGACGATTATCATAGTTACGCAGCCTCACTGACAAAAAACAAGAGTGCGAACAGAAGTGATTTAAGGTTAAAGTGAATAAATAGAATTTTAGAGGTACACAGAGTTTGTTAAAATATTTTTGAACGTTTAAACAGTAAAATTTGAATATAAAATAATCTGGTATGGCCATGTGTAAATGACCAATCCGTGCAACTAATATTCTACACAACAAAACGTATATACTCTAGAAATAAACACTTTATCCCGGAATTTTCTATGAACAGTAAGATGTTAAGACGTATCTATCTCGAACTTCCTAGATATCGTCGACAACCAATATTTAGTTAACTAAAGTATGTAGACATATTACTCGCTGTTAAAATATCAAAATCATTGCACATGGTGTGTAAGAGTCGAGTATTGAATAAACTAAAGAATTTCATAGATATGACTTCATAGAATGTTTTTGTAATCTGTCAAAGATGCAGCTATATTTGTGCTCTTTACCAATGTATTGAAGTAAAGTTACCTGGAAATAATAGTAAATCTGATTAAGTCGTTTCTAGTGAACTTAAGAGAACTTCCTTTATCATGAACTGATCTAATCAAATACTGAAACCAATAGAATAGGACATAATCCGATTTACAAATTCAAACCATCAATTATTAATCAGGAAAAATCTTTACGAATAGACATAAATAGGTTAATTAAACTCAATTCTAAGTCTTGGACCCTGTTAAGCGACTTCGTCGATCTCGTTGAAGACTATAAAGCCAACATCGATTCTACGATCAAGTTTTTAATTGGAAGTTTATTCGAAAGTTAGCCTACTTCTTTAAGTCTCCCATCAATTGTTCTAATTTCTTATGATGATTGTTTAATTCAGATGCCTTTTAATTTAGTCACAAATATTTACAGTCCACTAGCATTATTTTCCCCTGATTATTAAACAATTAAATATTCCTGGCACCAATCATATTTTGTCAGGCCTTTCTAGGATGAATATCGTTACTCTGAGATAGCTCATAAACCAATTAATTGGATACAGTTTGAGACGAAAGAAAGTGATCTCTTTAAATTAAACTGTTCTCTTCTCCAGTTTCTATTGCAAACATTGACTAATAACGTTATAGCATATTTACCTTCGATTTTGATTGGGACAAACAGAGTAAAATGTAACACACAATTTAACCGAGAATCGATTAACAATTTCAAGTCACCGGAGAAAAGTGACAAAATACTGCCACATATGTTTTGTCAGTCTTCTCCAGTGACTTGAAACCGATCAGTACTTGATATTTTAACTATTATACAATTAAATCGCGGATACGGTATGCATACATAACTTACGTGCTCTAGCTGCACGATACGTTGGGCTAAGAAAATAATCTTGCGTGCATACAAAAGCGCAAAATCCACCAAGTATCAGCACAGCCAAAATATAAACAAGTTTGAATGAATTATAACAATAGAAAGAATAATGAATCCATGGGATAAATGACCCGATAACAAGTAATGATATTCCAACATAGTCCAATCTGCGAAAAACAATTAAAGTTATACCGTTTTTCATATAATAATACGCTTAAATATTCTATTTGTAGAAAAAGACGTTTAAATCTAGAGAGAAAGAGGATATGTAAGGTGTAACACCACACGAATTAATTTATTTAAGTGAATCGAGAGATATTTAAAACAATGTATCTAAATAAATACTGAAACTTGGTAGCATAAATGAATGAAGCTGTGCTTCAGTGATTTTGTGTTGTAACTTAGAGAAATACTAGTATGGATAATATTTATAATTGAGAAAAGATCTTCAAAAAATAAATAACATTTTACCTGATGCTCAATTTATTTCAAATTACCAAGTCTAACCTTGGTAACAAGACTTATGAACAAAGACTGATATGGGTTGATGTAAGGGAATGGGTTAAACTACGGATTAAAACTATATTATGCACTAACAATAATCCCACAACTGATCCAGCTACTGATCAACAAGTGTATCAAGTAGTTTTTCATCATAGCTCTATACTAATATATATATATATGATTTACAACAACAACAACAAAATACTAATCGAATAATCGTGTAACATAATTATATAACTTTAAAGCGATCATAAAATGATATCAATTTATTAATTGAGTAATTGGAAGAAAGAGCATTATTATGGTGAAAGTAATTATCTGTAAACGTTAAAAAATTCAACTAAACAGCTACAAGACTATAATATTTAACAAGAGAATTAGAAAAATCTTTTGATAAAAACTAAGTTTTATAGTAGCTGTGTAAGAATCAAGAGACGGATATTGAGATGTAAAAGTAAACAAAAGTGACTAAATTCGTGAACTTTTCGAATATCTTTTGAAAGAGTGAGGTTCAGCTAAAATGCGATTACATATCTGTGGTTAAGGTAGAGAGGGCGGTTGTACAAACTTCTTTTGGAATGCAAAGGTTAGGTTTGTGAACATAGATTCTGACAGCTTCAGCAGTATGTAGAAGATAAACCCGTAAATCATACGGTGATGTCCTGTGTCCACCAAGTGAACAAGAAAAGAACTTTGAACTACTCTTACCTGTTTTTTGCTAAACCAAGACGAATGGCGTTCTGCTATACGAGGAGGGACTTATCGAATTGTACGTCCTATATAACTTGCTCCTCATAAGCAGTTGAATTAATAAATAATCATGGATATACAGAATTCAGGTAATCTATTTTTGGTAATGGTTCTCATTATTGGACGATTGTTCAGTTTGGCTGCAGTAAATGTTTTATGAGTAGCTTTTCTCAACCTATGCGTTACTGTTTCCTTGGTAGCACCACTTAGGAATTATAACTTCAAGAACAGGGAAATCTTTGGAACGGCTGTTACCTCCGGTCTCATTTTTACTCAATTTACCTACTTGTACTAAGAAAGTTAAGAATAATACACAAATTATCTTTAGAGGCGTCATCAGAGCAAACCACTTTGGTACGATGAATCAGGGTCTTTACTAGGTTTCTTTTATACATGATTTGTACAGAACTATAACAATGAATATCTTGTCCGATTGCGAATTTCCTATGTATCCCTTTTACTAATCTTCCGTATAATCTCTTAAGTCGGACGTCTAAAAATGATGTGCTATTATTGTTTTCCCTTAAGCATGAACTTAGTAGATGGATGAACGTGATTAGTTACAATAAGCAAACTATTCTTTATATTTTTATTTTCCATTGCTAAGAAAGTATCATATATGTAGGGACAGTTAGATGTTAGTTGACAGACAGTGTCTTTAAGTTGTCTATTTTCTAGTTTTGCGAGAAAAGTCTGTCAGCGAATGACCCAATGGTGATCACATGGTTGCACCATCTATCTGTCTTTTACTAGGTGTCCGAAAGGGAATCTCCACTAAACTGCAGCCAAATTACGCTGTTATATATCATTTAGTTGGTCAACAGTCAAATTTCAGTACACTGAACTGGCAGTACTTGACACAAATTAATGAATAACTTAATACATGTATACAACTTACAACATTAACAGATAAACCGCAGAAACTGACAGTTATAACTAAATTCCTGAGTTATATATTTGGTTTTTCCTATCACTTACTTGGTTTTACACATTTGACATTTTAATATTGACCTTAGCTACTTTAGAATTTCAAGACTGTACAGAGAAAATAAAGGCTCTTTGAAAATTACATTGAACATTATTAACTCTTGTTTTAAAACACGTTCGAAATGCGATATTGTTTTAACTGCTGAAGGTGTTTTTATGTAAAATCACAAAGCGTAAAAGATGTTCATCTTTATCATAATTACCATTAATTAAATTCATAATTAATAAGAATACATGTAGACTTAACAAAACTAAATAATGTGACATTGAAGCAGATATATGGAGCTATGAATAGTGAAATATTTGAGTGAGTTGAAGACTGGAAGTAAGCAACGCCCGTCGCGTTTTTTTAAAAAAAGTCGTTAAGTCGGTAATAAGGTCAAATTAATTCTACAATTTTAAGCAAGTTATATAGAAGAAATAATACTAAGTGTTTGAAATGTTTTGAAAAAACCTTGACGAGTCATTCTCAGAACCCATCGCATGAAAATAAACTTTCTTTAAGAGACGAAAAGGGTGTCATTACTAGAAGACATGGGAAATATTTATGATAGATGTATGTAGCTTTGGCCAAGGCTTGTTGCAGTTATAATAAGTTTGCACTATTCTTAAGGTTTATAAATCTATATGCTGAATTTCTTAAGATCTCAACAAATAAATATCAAGTTACCGGAATAAAGCAACGATCTATACTGGAAATGATTATAGAATACTCACTTGTTGAATAATTTACCAACACGTTCTGAATGGCAATAAACTGTGTGAAACAACCATGAAAAACCAAGTGCAAGGATGGCGCTTGTAAAAAATACCTGAACAACCATTTTCTCCTGCCAATGTATATTTAAACCCGGATGAACTAGAAATGAGATACTCAAGATAAGAAAACAAACGAAACCTACAAAAAAGTCGGAAAAATTAGATGACACGTGTCAGGAAGTTGAGTTGATGTGTTAAAACCACCCAATGCACAAAAATGCAGATGCAAAAACCACATAGAATGGATATATCGTGAATATCACAAATATTTACATATTTCCGACAGGTATTATCATTAAGACTTTGAGTTTTAAAATATATGGAGCAAAATGTCGGCTTTACTGATTACTATTAAATACGACCTAAATATTAGCAAATGAAAGAATGATATATCTGTTTAATCAGTGATTAATGAGATCAGAGACTAATCAAACAGTGACGTAAATACTGTAAAATAACTAAAAACTTAATAATAGCAAACACTAAACAGTCCACACTCAAAATCTAATAAGGTAATGCTAAAGATGATATTGTCACTTAGTTTATTGAAAGACTGCTATCAATGAAATGTTCTCACATATGTATAAATTGTCTGAAGTTTTTAAACATAATTGGGATCTAGCTATTGTTTGGAAGTATTTTAGAGCTTTTTGTTTGTTGACTTCAAAATAATGAATATATATTTGGTCACTTGGATTATGTGAAGCCACTACTTAGTCATCTTAATATAGTAAACAGTTAAAACCAGTTTTGATCTATCTAAAAGAAAAGATATATATCTTACGAAAAGAAGACCTCTGGATTTGAGTTTTCTAATAGTGTGACAGTTTGAGGCGGAAACGCAATGCAATCACCGAGATGATAAAGTAAAAACGGAATGAAATTCCACAAATTATTACACGGTGACAGAAATATATTACTTTAACTACGGAAATGTAAATGGCTCTCAGTCAAAAACTACACTTTCGGACTTATCCTGTAGACTGAAACATAAGAGCAGTAACAAAAAACCCAAGATGTTTTACATCCATTAACATGGGAACGTAGAACGCAAACACCACACAATGCCATCAAAGCAATAATGATGCCCAACAAGTTGTATTTATGACAGAGAACCTACACGTTGAGGTCTCAGCATATATCTGAAATATGTGGACTTTTTATGAATTAGAAGTCAAAAAATTAAGACTCACAGGGACCTCTACCTAATGCAAAATCTATACAGGTCTTAATGACACCATTATGATATTTCTCTAAAAAAAACATCCAGTGAGGCGTGTTACGAGTTATCAATAGTGCTCACAGTTCAAGGTTACGAGGAAGACCAAGAAAAGTAACAGCACAGACAATCAATACAAACGTAATAGGTATGTATCGACAAGATTTGTTTCGTAAGTTGGAGTCAAAGTGGAATAAGATGGATGCAAATATTAACACACAAATCATTGACGATTTACCAATGAGATGTGTCCAAATATTTCCTGTTTCCGTATGAAGTCGGAAGATAGAACGGAAGCATTCACGAAATGATGGGAGTTGCGGACGGTGACCCCGGAGGATAAAATCGTTGTCTTTTAACCAGTGTGGTAAGCTATGGTGATGAACTACTCTCCACCCTTTTTTCCAAAGGTGAATAACCAACTCTTCTGCTTGTTCTACAGCCCTACTAGCAGCCTCTCCAATCTCATGAGCTGCGAACGTAAAGTAATCTCCACCATAACTAGCAGATCGACGATGTGCGCACAAGGGAGAGTGATTTGTTTTGGGAACAGTTAGTGACTGCAAGTCTGTAACAGACGAATTTAGATCCCAAGACGGTTGTGGTGTATATGCGTTGGTGGCCACATGGTTTGAAGAATCGCTGGGCAGGCAGAACTTCGGCAACTTTCGCCTCCTGACAGCAGACTGTGGCATCCAATCTGCATCTGTTTGATTTGAGATCAGAGGATCACAGAAAGATGAGGTGATACAGGCAGACCCCTCTGAACGCATCCGTCTATGTTTACCAAGCGTGTTCTGCATATTATCCTATATAAAAGAATTAGAAAACACTTCGAGTGATATTTACGTGTTGAGAAGAAACATGGTGAATATTATGCGACAAATAGTCCGCTGGTCTAAAAGAACTCCCCATCATTGAATGAAAACACACGTAAAGCGCGCTTAATCAGCTGATTCTGGTTCAATGAACGGACTAAATAACATGATCCAACATAACAAATGAACATTACAAGATCTTAAATGACTCAAATAACGGTGAGGTTAATCTCATTAGGCTTTGTCTTGGATTTCTTTTTGCTTTATTTTCCAGTTTAGCTTGATATAGTCCTACGACAACTTAGGAAAAAAAATCAAATGGAAGGTTTCAGCTTCATTTTGGAGAGGAAAGTAGTCTATGTGACTTGTGTTAGCCCCATCGTTGGTGATCTGCCAGTTGATCCAACTCGTATTTGAAAGCTTCGTCAGATGGCGCTTCAGTCTCGTGTTGAATTAATGGATTCCATTCGTTGATAATTCGATGAGAAATTTGATAGTCATCCGACAAATAATTTGTTCTGAGTTTGTGAACATCTTCAGAGTGTCCTCATAATTTCCCTGCTATTGCAGGGCATTTCAGATTCAATTTCATTATATGGTCATTTAAAATTTTTGATCAAGTCACCTCTGGTCCTTCTATGTGACAAAGGAAATAGTTTACAGTTGAGCATCATACAGGAACTTCGCTATTCCGGAAATGAGCTTAGTTACGATTCTTTGAACCTTCTGCAACAGCTCGCTGTCTCTTTTTAGCCAGGATCTAGCCGTTTGAATGTGATGCTCGAGTTTAGGAAGAAGGAACATTGCATACAAAGTCAAAAGGGTTTTAGCTCCAACATAGCTTAAAGGCCTACGTATCGACCATAGAGTTCTAAAATCTTTTACAACTATCGCACAGCAGTACAGAGAAGTTTTAAATCTTGACTAACGATGGCTCCTAAGTCATTATGTGTCTGAAAAACATGTAGACCAGTGCTACTCACGGTGTACGTATATGTACCTTGGTGACCAATATTCATCACGATGCACTTGAAAGTGTATATCGGCAACGGCCAAATTTTAGACCAGTCAGATAATATCTCCAGATCATTTCGAAGTTCTAAACTATCACTCCTACTTTTTATCACCCTCCATATCTTGAAATCCTCAGCATATAACAAAAACTGATGATGACTGGGAAGGTCATTTACATACAAGAGGAACAACACTCCCACAAACTGCACCCTGAGGCACTCCACTAAGCACAGCTTCCCGGTTAGAGGACGTTGGGCTCATTTGTACTCTCTGTTGACACCCAACCAAGAAGTTTCAACATTATTTACGTTGCCTAAGTAATTTAAGAATACCTTAACTTTACCATAATGGTCCTGCTTTGATAAGAAGTACTTCCGTCTCCTCGTAATGCTAGAATATTTCCTTTTCTCCTAGTCCTTTGGTTTTTTGCATCAGTATGAGCGTTTAATATACTTTAAAGACTCCTTGAAAAGTCTTTGCTCGTACAAATATTTAGACTTTCAGAAGATCGAAGCAGAATTATTTCGAGCTTCCTGGTTTTGAGATTTTGCTTCGTCGGCTCCCTATAACGTAAATATTTTCCCCATTTCTCTCCTCATAATGAGAAGGGTACGAACCTCTTTGCTTAACCACAGTGAGGAATTTCTCTAACTGTTTGGTATAGTCCGAGGGATGTGTGGTGCGATGACCGTAGGTGCACCAAAGTCTCCATTGATTAAAAGCCAACCACTTGAACCCATTTGGCAAGACCTAATTCATTTCACAGTATGAACTGAAGTAGACAGCTTTCACTTTTTGTATTTCAAGTGGCAACTAACTACTTTACAACTCCCAACTTTATGGGATATTTTATCACTAACGGCAAGTGGAATATTTCTTATGAGCAGATCTGGAGAATAATGGTCTACTATGATATTTGTAACTCCGCCTGTAGCTCTTATAGGGTTGCTGCCGGTCCCAAGCCCGGGTAAAGGAGGAGGGTTGGGCATGGGGTTAGCGTCCCCATCCCATAGAAAACTAACTCGCTAAAAAAACGCTTACCAGAAAAAATAATCCAAACCATTTTAACTCTGCCCTGGGAGTTAGAAGGTCTTCATTTAGAAGAATTATAAAGCTTCATGGTGAAAGCCGAGTTCCTTCGGAAGCCACGAGGCCGATGCCCCTTCTAACAACCAGAGCAAAAATTTTTATAGGTACATGGAACGTTCGAACAATGTGGGAAACCGGGAAGACCAGTCAAATATCAATGGAAATGAGGAGATACAACTTAGCAGTACTGGGAATCAGCGAAACCCACTGGACCCAAGCTGGACAGAAAAGGCTAGCTACGGGAGAGATGCTGATATACTCCGGTCACGAAGAGGACAATGTTCCACACACTCAGGGAGTCGCTCTTATGCTGTCCAACGTGGCACGAAATGCACTTGTAGGATGGGAATCTCACGGATCCAGAATCATCAAAGAATCATTCAAAACAAAGAAGGAGGGGATCACAATGAGTATTATCCAATGTTATGAACCCACCAATGATAGCAACGATGACATTAAAGATCAATTCTACGAGCGGCTGTAATCAATCATAGAGAAGTGCCCAAGAAAGGACCTCACCATTCTGATGGGAGCTCTAAATGCCAAAGTTGGAATAGACAACACCGGATATGAAGATATTATGGGACGACATGGACTGGGAGAAAGAAACGAAAATGGAGAAAGATTTGCAAATCTGTGTGCATTCAATAAATTGGTCATAGGAGGCACAATATTTCCACACAAGCGTATACACAAGGCTACATGGATCTCACCGGACCACACTACAGAGAACCAAATAGATCATATTTGCATCAACAAAAAATTCCGAAGGACAATGGAAAATGTGAGAACCAGGAGAGGTGCTGACGTAGCTTCAGATCACCACCTAGTTGTAGCCAATTTGAAACTGAAGCTAAAGAAGAACTGGACAAGTGGACAAACAGCAATACAAAGGTTCAATACAGCCTTCCTTCGAGATACTGTCAAACTCAATGAATTCAAGATAGCTCTCAACAACAGGTTCCAAGCCTTACAGGATCTACTGAAAAAAGAAGAAACTACTATGGAGGACAACTGGAAAGGTATCAAAGAAGCATTAACTTCAACGTGTCAAGAGGTTCTCGGTCTAAAGAAATAACATCATAAGGAATGGATCTCTATAGAAACACTGGACAAGATCAAAGAAAGGAAGAACAAGAAGGCAGCAATAAACAACAGCCGAACACGAGCAGAGAAAGTCCAAGCACAAGCTGAATACATAGAATCAAACAAGCAAGTGAAGAAGAGCATTAAAGCCGACAAGGAGAAAGAAATACGTGGAAGAACTAGCAACGACGACGGAAAAAGCTGCAAGGGAAGGAAATATGAAACAGCTTCATGATACAACGAAGAAACTAGCAGGGAAATATAGTAAACCAGAGAGACCGGTCAAAGGCAAAGAAGGCAAGCCAATCACTGAAATTCAACAACAGCGGAACAGATGGGTAAAATACTTCGAGAAACTCCTGAATAGGCCGGCTCCAATGAATCCACCGGACATCGATGCAGCACACACAGATCTTCCTATAGATGTCAATCCACCAACGACGGAAGAAATCAGAATGACCATCAGACAAATCAGGAGCGGGAAAGCAGCAGGGCCCGACAATATACTAGCTGAAGCACTGAAGTCAGGCATCGAAGTAACTACAAACATGCTTCACCTTCTATTCAAAAAGATTTGGGAGGAGGAACAAGTGTCGATGGACTGGAAAGAAGGACACCTCGTCAAGATTCCAAAGAAAGGAGATCTGAGCAAATGTGAAAACTACAGAGGCATAACACTACTGTCAGTGCCAGGGAAAGTCTTTAACAGAGTGTTGCTGAACCGGATGAAGGATGCAGTAGACGCCCAACTTCTAGATCAACAAGCTGGATTCCGTAAGGATCGGTCGTGCACAGACCAAATTGCAACACTACGGATCATCGTCGAACAATCAGTTGAGTGGAACTCATCACTATACGTCAACTTCATTGATTATGAAAAGGCATTTGACAGTGTAGATAGGAAGACATTATGGAAACTTCTTCGACACTACGGAGTTCCTGAGAAGATTGTCAATATTATCCAGAACTCATACGACGGACTACAGTGCAAAGTAGTGCATAGAGGACAGCTGACAGATGCATTCCAAGTAAGGACCGGAGTCAGACAAGGCTGTCTACTCTCTCACTCTTCCTCTTTCTTCCGGTGGTCGACTGGATTATGAAGACCTCGACATCTGAGGGAAAACACGGAATACAATGGACTGCTCAGAATCAATTAGACGATTTGGACTTCGCAGATGACCTAGCCCTCCTATCGCATACACAAGAACAAATTCAGATAAAGACAGCCAGTGTAGCAGCAGTCTCTGTATCGGTAGGCCTCAGCATACACAAGGAGTAAACCAAGGTCCTCAAATGCAAAACGAAGAACAGCAATCCAATCACTCTTGATGGCGAAACTCTGGAAGATGTAGAATCCTTCACATACCTGGGAAGAATCATCGATGAACAAGGAGGTTCAGATGCAGACGTAAAGGCGAGAACTGGCAAAGAAACGTCCGCATTCCTACAATTGAAGAACATATGGAACTCAAAACAACTTTCAACCATCATCAAAGTGAGAATCTTCGAGACGAACGTCAAAGCAGTCAGTTCTACTGTACGGAGCTGAAACTTGGAGAACTACAACAACCACCATCAAGAAAGTACAAGTATTTATAAATAGCTGTCTTCGCAGGATACTCAACATCCATTGGCCGGATACCATCAGCAATAGCCTTCTGTGGGAGGAAACAAACTAACTTCCAGCTGAAGAAGAAATTAGGAAAAGACGATGGAAATGGATAGGACATATATTACGCAAATCGTCGAACTGCATCACGAGGCAAGCCCTAACTTGGGATCCTGAAGGGAAGCGAAAAAGAGGAAGGCCAAAGAACACATTGCGTCGGATAATAGAAGCAGATATGAAAACGATGAATTACAACTGGACGGAGCTAGAAAGGATTGCCCAGGACAGGGTTGGATGGAGAATGCTGGTAAGCGGCCTATGCTCCTTCACGAGGAGTAACAGGCGTAAGTAAGTAAGTAATGATATTTGTACTGC